CTCCCCCTCCCTCCCTCCTTCCCTCCCACCCACCCCAGGCAGTTCTAATGAGACAATTCATTAACCAGGGCCTGCGTGCACCCCGGAAAGAACATTAATGCACAAAATAAAAAAATAATTTTAATAGGGTGTTCATCCAGCTCTTTATCGCCGATGACAATCGGTGTCCTGGCTCAATCATCCGTGTTTGCCGAAGGGACCAAACGCCCCCATCCCAGCCTGAATTCTCACCTGCAGCTCCAGGGAGCACAGCCTCTTCTTAACCTTAAGCATTAAGGAAGATAAATCTATCTCAGCGTCTCCTTCTGTCCTACTATCGCAGCACCATGGAGAGTGTCCTGACATACGGCATTCTTGCATGGTGTGGGAGCAGCTCTGTAGCGGACAAAAAAAGCTCTACAGAGAATCATTAAAACTGCCCAGAATCTCATCGGACTCCAGCTACCAGCCCTGGACGACATCTTCGCATCTCGCTGTTTGAGAAAGTTGCATAACATTCTCCGAGACTCTTCCCGTCCTGCTTACAATCTTTTTGGACTGTTGCCTTCTGGCAGAAGAGACAGAACAATTCGAACTCAGACCACACGTCTTCTGAATAGTTTTTATCCCAGAGCTATAATTGCACTCAACAATGAACTAAAGGGCCACCATCAGGGAGCTGTTGGACAGCATCACTTGGTCTGTTGTGAGGATGTTTGGGTGGTTTTAGGGGTGGGGAATTATGGTAGGGGGGTGTTTGGGGATTGTTATATGTGTTGGACCTGGTCTTTGGGTGTTAAGTGAATTTCGTTGTGTGGGTATACTCTGTATACACGTACAATGACAATAAAAATTTTTATTTATTACTTACCTGAATAGATTTCCCATCTCCCACTCTACTTTTTTTGGGGGGGGGAAGGAAGTCCTTGATTTATGACCATCGTTGAGCCCAACATTTCTGTCGCTAAGTGAGACCACTGTTAACGTGAGTTTCGACCCATTTTACGACCTTTTCCACCGCTATTAAGCGAACCGCTGCACTTGTTAAGTTAGTAACACGGTGGTTAACTCATTTAGTCAGGTGACTGTGTGTGTGCCCTCAGAACTTTGGAGAAATCTGTCGTAACTTCAAATGGTCACTAAGCAGCAGGTCGTAAGCCGAAGACTACCTGTAGTGTAGAATCGACTCAAAACCTGAACTAACTGGAGAGGCTGCAACCGTCGTAAGTGTGAAAAACAGTCGTAAGTCACTTTTTTCAGGGCCGTTGTAACTTTGAACGGTCACTGAACGAATGGTTGTAAGTCAAGGACTACCTGTATTTCCAGTCCATGCCATGCAAAGAAAAATTCCAGGAATGGCCGACATGTGTCACCCATTAAAATATAGGTGGAGTTTGGTTTGCATTGACACTGCTGCCATCTTGGCTTGTTTAAACCACATCTGTGGACACCCTTACAAGTAACCAATGAATGGAAACTAATCAAGGAGAGAAGCAACCTAGAACTAAGGGGAAATTTCCTGACGGTGAGAACAATTAACCGGTGGAACTACTTGCCACCAGAAGTTGTGGGTGCTCCAACACTGGAAGTTTTTAAGAAGATAGATAGATAGATAGATAGATAGATAGATAGATAGATAGACAGACAGACAGACAGACAGACAGACAGACAGACAGACAGACAGATAGATAGATAGATAGTAGATAGATAGATAGATAGATAGATAGTAGATAGGTAGGTAGGTAGGTAGGTAGGTAGGTAGGTAGATAGATAATAGATAGATAGATAGATAGATAGATAGATAGATAGATAGTAGATAGATAGATAGATAGATAGATAGATAGATAGATAGATAGATAGATGATAGATAGGTAGATAGATAGATGATAGATAGATAGATTGATTGTAGATAGATAGATAGATATAGATAGATAGATAGATAGATAGATAGATTGTAGATAGATAATAGATAGATAGATAGATTGATAGATAGATGATAGATAGATTGATAGATAGATTGATAGGTAGATAGATAGATAGATAGATAGATAGATAGATAGATAGATAGATAGATAGATAGATAGTAGATAGATAGATTGTAGATAGATAATAGATAGATAGATAGATTGATAGATAGATGATAGATAGAGATTGATAGATAGATTGATAGGTAGATAGATAGATAGATAGATAGATAGTAGATAGATAGATAGATAGATAGATAGATAGATAGATAGATAGATAGATAGATTGTAGATAGATAGATAGATAGATAGATAGATAGATAGATGATAGATAGATAGATTGATTGTAGATAGATAGATAGATAGATAGATAGATAGATAGATAGATAGATAGATTGTAGATAGATAATAGATAGATAGATAGATTGATAGATAGATGATAGATAGATAGATTGATAGATAGATTGATAGATAGGTAGATAGATAGATAGATAGATAGATAGATAGATAGATAGATAGATAGATTGTAGATAGGTAGATAGATAATAGATATCAGCCATTTGTCTGAAATAGTATAGAGTCTCCTGCTTGAGCAGGGGGTTGGACTAGAAGACCTCCAAGGTCCCTTCCAGCTCTATTCTATTTTTTCCCTCCCCCTTTTTCTCAAAGGAGCTAAAACATAAATATTGCAGAAACTGAATATACCTAGTCTAGAGAAAAATAGAGCCAGGGCTGACACGATAGCAGTCTTCCAATACTTCAACCACTGACAAGAAACAATGGATGGAAACTAATCAAGGAGAGAAGCAATCTGGAACCCAGGAGAAACTTCCTAACAGTGAGGACAATTAACCTGTGGAACAGCTTGCCACCAGAAGCTGTGGGTGCTCCAACACTGGAGGTTTTCAAGAAGAGATTGGACAACCATTTGTCTGGAATGGTATCTCCTGAGCAGCGGGTTGGACTAGAAGACCTCCAAGGCCCCTTCCAACCCTGTTATTTTGTTAATGCCATCGTGATCAACAACTAAGAGAAGGACTTGGGGTGACATGATGGCAGTCTTCCAATATTTGAGGGGCTGCCACAGTGAAGAGGGAGTCCACCTATTCTCCAAAGCACCTGAAGGCAGGACAAGAAGCAACAAATGGAAACCAATCAAGGAGAGAAGCAACCTAGAACTCAGGAGAAATTTCCTGTTGGTGAGAACAATTAACCGGTGGAACTACTGGCCACCAGAAGTTGTAAATGCTCCAACACTGGAAGTTTTTAAGAAAAGATTGGACAGCTATTTCTCCGAAATGGTATAGGATTTCCTGCCTGAGCAGAGGGCTGGACTAGAAGACCTCCAAGGTCCCTTCCAACTTTTGTAATTCTGTTAATTTGTAGTCTGAGTCCAAATCCAGATGGACTTTGGGGAGATAATGTCTAAGAGTAAACAGCCTTCCCGGGTAATAAGGAGCAAACACAGATGGCTTATGCATCTGTGAATTAAGCCAGGTGCGATCACCTTGAATTTTCTAAGTTCACCTTGGGAACAACACCGACAAAGTCATGTTTTAAGCTCTGCTGATGCCGTCCCCATTTATCTTCAATTTTAGGAGGCGGCTGTTCAGCTGGGCCTGTTAGGGTGGGTTAACAATGAAATAAAATCCATAAATTGAATAGGAAACAGAGCTCAGCAGGTAGTTAAAAGCAGCAAAGGAAAGGACCAAACAAATCTCTCAAAAAAAAAAAGAAAAAGAAAAGAAAATGTCAATAGCCAAAACAGCCTGGGGTAAAACAGAAAAAGCTTTTGCATATGATTTTGAAAAGGGGAAGAAATATCTGTTGAAAACCAGATTTCTGTTATGGGCGTTTGCATGCTGGGGTTGTGTGAATCTATGTGGAAGGGGCCAGGCCTTTTGTTACATGGCTGAGGAATTCTGAAGCCCACGCATCTAAGGGGCTGCCCCAAAGAAAGGGGGGGGCAGCCTATTCTCCAAAGGACCAGAAGGGCAGGACAAGAAGCAACGGATGGAAACTCATCAAGGAGAGAAGCAACCTAGAACTAAGGAGGAAATTTCCTGACAGTGAGAACAATTAACCAGTGGAACAACTTGCCACCAGAAATTGTGAATGCTCCAACACTGGAAGTTTTTAAGGAGATGTTGGACAACCATTTGTCTGAAGTGGTGTAGGGTTTCCTGCCTAAGCAGGGGGTTGGACTAGAAGACCTCCAAGGTCCCTTCCAGCTCTATTCTATTCTCCCCCCCCCAACTTTTTCTCAAAGGAGCTAAAACATAAAAATTGCAGAAACTGGGTATGCCTAGTCTAGAGAAAAGAAGAACCGGGCTGACATGATAGCAGTCTTCCAATACTTGAAGCGCTGACCACCTAGTGGGAGGTATTGATGATGTTACCTAGTTGGGTCATGAGACGTCTGCAAGATAGCTCTGCAGACAAAGGCACTGTAATTTAACACCAGCTGTCTGCAATTAAAGTAAGTTCGAATCTTGCCAGGCTCAAGGTTGACTCAGCCTTCCATCCTTTCTAAGGTAGGTGAAATGAGGACCCAGTTTGTGGGGGCAATAAGCTGACTTTGTATAAATATACAAAAGGATGAAGGCTATTGCTTAGCACATTGTAAGCCGCCCTGAGTCTCCGGAGAAGGGCGGCATATAATTCAAATTAAAAACAACAACAACAACAACCGGAAAGCCTCCGAGAATAGCAAGGACCCCACAATACTCCCCCTCCTCGTCCTCCTCCTCCTCTACAAACCCCATTCCTTCTAGCACTGATGATCTTACCTAGTTGGGTCATGAAATGTCTAGAAGAAAACAACCAATCTTAGAGAGCACCAAGGGACCCCACAGTCCCTTCCTCCTCCCTGCAATCCCACTCCTTTCTAGCACTGATGATGTTACCTAGTTGGGTCATGAAACGTCTGCAAGAAAGCAGCACCCAGCTCAGCGCCCAGGACCTCCCAGCGGAGGTGATCTGAAGTAGCAGAGAGCGGTGGCTGGTTTGTCAATGGAAGCAGCAGCCCCCTGATTTCTCTTTTCTCTTGGTCTCCAGCCTCCCCTGCCCAAGACGCTCACGGCAAAACCGATCTCCCCCCGGTGTCAGAACAGATCCTGCAGACCCTCACAGATTTGGCTCGATCTTTCCAGGAGATGGCAGACGCCTGCTTGCTGGTTTTGCACCTGGAAGTCAGGTGAGACATGTATATCGTTTGTTTGTTTGTTCATTTAGTTTTTATAAACAACCCAAGTGGCAATCATATTTAATCCTCCTTCCTCAGAGCAACAACCCCATGAGATGGATTGGCTTGAGAGGAAGGGACTGGCCCAAAGCCACCCAGCTGGCTTTCATGCCTAAAGTGGGAACTAGAACTCACCATCTCCTGGTGATTGGCCCAAAGTCACCCAGCCAGCTTTCATGCCTAAGGCAGAACTAGAATTCGTAGTCTCCTGGTGATTGGTCCAAAGTCACCCAGCCAGTGTTGACGCCTAAAGTGGAACTAGAACTCACCATCTCCTGGTAATGGGCCCAAAGTCACCCACAGCTTTCATGCCTAAGGCAGAACTAGAACTCACCATCTCTGGGTTTCTTGCTTTGTGCTGGGTAGGTGTGTCTAAATCTAAGCATTTCTAAACACTCCCAAGATCCACAGAATCCTGCAGGAAGGAAAAGCCTTTGGAATTTATAAAGCAGCATATAGAGCAATTACGCAGAAAATTAGCATGTAAAAACATTCCGTATACATTATTTCTGTTCTCCGTGTCAGGTAGGTCTATGTAATTATCCCCGTAGTGCAGATAGAGTAGGAAGGGCTGAGAGGAAGAGCCAGAGATTTTCCAAGCTGGTGATGGCAGCTGTGTGAGATTTTAATCACTCCTCATCTTGATTTAAGATTTGCGAGATGCAATTAAAAACACAGACACCGGAGTCTTAACCAGGTTGATGGGAGTCTTAGCTAACTTTCAACTTTCTAGAATGCTCAGGAGACCTTTGCAACTTGCACAAAACCGACAGTTGATGGGTCCGTATGTTGTATGAACCGAGAACATTAGTTTACTTGTAATCAGGTTGTGTGTGTGGCATAAATTTATTGATTCACACAGTTTATCACCTTGATAAACTCTAGACCAGTGTTTCTCAATGTTGGCAAGATGTGAAGACTTTTAACTCAAAATATTTCCCTATACCAATATCCTGGCTGGGGAATTCTGGGAGTTGAAGTCCACACATCTTCAAGCTGTCAAAGTTAAGAAACATTGGATTAGATGAGCTCTCAACTCTCTTCCGCCAATAAAAGAGTATTTTTGTAGTTCAGGCTTGACCTGTGAGGTCCTGGATGCTCTCTGAGCTTGGTGGTTTTCTTGCAGACGTTTCATGACCCAACTAGATAACATCATCAGTGCTAGAAGAGAAGTGGGGTTTGCTTTCATTTTATATACATGTGTTGGATGGGAGTGATCTTGATGGTTCCTTGATTAGGCTGTTGTTTATTGTTGGATTGTTTGCTTGAGTTGGTAATTCCTTGATTGGGGTGTTGATTATGGCTTGTTGGTCGATCTACTGTTCATCTTGATGTTGATCTATGCTCATATGGCTATTGATTGCTGGCAAGAAGGTTTAGTCTTTTTGTTGTCAGGTTTCGATGCTATCTCAAAATAAATGAATTTCCAAACTGCCGATCTTTAAGGAAATTTTCTCTTTATTTGAGCACAGCGATCTGATCCTGGCTCTTTCGCGGTCAGTGCTGACCTTTTCCCCCCAATCCCTCCCTTTCCGATCCCCAATTCTCTGCTTCTCATTGGCTATCTTCCAAGTCACTTTCCTGATCTCTTCTTCGTCAGATCACAGGAATGTCTCCCCCCTCTCCCATCTCCGAGGAGACAGAATCTTCAAAGGGATTTAGTAGGCAAAAGTTCACGCTTCTCCTCTCTTTATATATGTCAGTGCTGGGACGCTGACATTTGTTTCCTTTTTGGGCTTTTTGATAGTCTCTTTTAAATAGCGTGTAGACATTGTTTATCTCTTTGTGCCTGTTGATGGCCAATTGACGCCAGGCTTCTAGAAATTCCCTAGTGTTTTTGGATTTGGCTTAATCTAGGATGCTCACCGTTTCCCAGTTGAAACTGTGGCGAAGTCTGTCCATGTGTTGTGCAATTAAGCAGTTTTCATCATGTCTTCTGACTGCTAATTGGTGTTCATGGATGCGCTCCACTAGTCTTCAGTCTGTTTGTTCCATGTAGTGGGAGCATCTGGCTTGCTCTCGAGAAATCTAGAAACCCATGAAGTTATCAGAGACATTATGAGGGTTAGTACCGTTGCAGTTTTTACTGTCATTCTGTATGAACTTCAAACAGAAGTTCATAAAGCTGTCATTTCTGTTTCTGGACTGTCCCCTTGATCGGTCAGTTTTCTTAAATGAAAGACCTCAGAGTGGCCACAGTTCACGTATAATGGCTTCCAAGACACATTGTGCAAAATCAGACTTCCTGCTGTGAAATCGGCAATGTTTTTGGAAAACCTTAACGCCGGAGTAGAGTGAAGGTTTAACACAAACATTTCGGCACGAAGGAGCAGAGACTCAGAAGGGGCAATCAAATGAACCATCTGAGAATGGGATCCAGTCACATGGCAATCGGTTTTATGACCGCCATGACTTATAACTATCAGTGGTGGGTTTGTACTGGTACGCAGCGGTTTCGGCGAACCGGTAGCACCGATGATCCCCTGGTAGCGAACCGGTTCCTCCCGCCCGGGCTCCTTTTTTACCTTTATCTTCTCTGCTGAATTAGTGCGGCAGAGTGGATTGAATCAGCTGTGCTCTCCCCGGTAGAAACACGGAAGTGGAAAGTTTTTGCAAAATGTGCAAAATTGGCACACACACACGCGCGCGAAGCACAAAGCAAGCGCACGAAGCGCGCTATCAGCAAACCGGTAGTAAAACCGGTAGCAACCCACCATTGAACTGTATGTGTAGGTCTCGGTTACAGTCGTAAGTCGAGGACTACCTGTAAGCAGTATTATAGCAAACTGGACAGTTGGAGCAACTTGGTGTGAATTAGAAAAATCTCAGTTCCAGAAGTCTTGATGTACCTTTCCTTCCCAGGGATAACATCTTTTACAGAATATTTGGGTGCACCTCTTAATTTTCCGAGGAGGAGGAGGAGGAAATATCATCAGTGCTAGAAGGGAGTGAGGTTAGCTCGTATTTTTATATGCTGGTGGCTTGCCCTATCGGTATTGGTGGGGGTGTTCATGGCGGTTCCTTGATTAGGCTGCTGTTTACTCTTTGTTTGTCTGTGTTGGTAATTCCTTGATTGGGGTATTGTTTATTTTTTAATTGCTGATCTAGTGTTAATCTTGGTGTTAAATCTCTTGTCTGGGCGTTGATTACTGGTAAGGAGGTGTTCTTGGTGTTTTTGTTACCTTTTGAGCTTTTGGATTGTCTCTTTTGAATGGTATGTAGACGTTATTGGTCTCTATATGTCTGTTGATGGCTGATTCATCCAAATGCCACAATTCCAGGAATTTGCTGGCATTTTTAGACTTGGCTTGGTCTAGGATGCTCACAGTTTGCTAGTTGAGGCGGGGGTGTGTGTCTAGGACAACTCACCGCAGCCCTCTCGCTACAGGATACCTCGCCATGGGTCAATTGAACATTGTATCAATCATTTCGTTCAGTTCCTTTTATTATCGGTGGCTGTGTTTCTGTCGAAATTATTGCAACTCTTGTATTTCTGGGTTGTCTTTCTTTCTTTTATTATTATTAGTTCTGTTGAAATAAATTTAATGTTCGTATTTGTTGAATTGGCCTGCAGTGATTTGTCCTGTGGCAAGTTGTCCACGGAGAGTTGGCCATGTCAAGTTTGTCTCCTGCCATCCCTCTGGTTCAAGCATGGCACTCGTTCGATGCCACGCAAAGCTCCCTTAGCCTTATGGACTTTCCACGTTGCTTCGGCTTCCTTCTGCCTGAAAGGGGAGGGAGACCTACTCAGGAAACCTGAGTTTCCCCCCCTCCCCAGCCTTAGAGCTCTCGTAATACTGGCTTCTCACAACAAACCTGGTTTGAAGAGCCTTCTCGTTCACAGGGTCCATTGCTTCCACTACCTGATCCCTTTGGCGAAGCAGGGCAACTATGCCATTGTGGCCAACGTGGAGAGCATGGATTACGACCCCCTGGTGGTACGGCTCAACAAGGACATCAGCGCCGTGGAAGAAGCCATGAATGCCAGCTTGCAGCAGCACAAGTTCCAGTACATCTTTGAAGGTGGGTTGCTTGCCAAGGAGCTGAAGTGGGCAAGTTCACCTGTTGTGGCCCGCTGGTGGCCAGTGGAGCTGGCAGCAGAGTCAGACAGTGGGGAGGTTGGGGAGGAACTTGGGCCAGTCCTGGGGGCTGAGGAAAGCTCGGACGAGGGCTCTGCGTCGGAGGCAGAGAGGGAGATAGACAGCAGTGAGGCAGAGGAAAAGCTGGAGCCTGTTCCCAGTGTGCGCATGCACAGAGCTGCCAGAAGACAAGAACAATTAAGAAAGCAGGGTCGACTCGGGAGTAAGGCCACACCTTGAGGGTGATTGGCCCCTCCCATAGGAAACAAAAGAGGAGCGAACAGGGAGGGGGCTTTTGCAGGAAACAATTAGTTCATTCTGTGACTCTGTGCCAAGTTTTGCCTTGTACTGCGGTTGGAAACAAATTTACGTGGCAGCTTGCCAAGCGAGATAAGGCGTGTTGAGAAATATTCCTTTGAAAAACTGTTTGGACAAACCTTGCTGACTGAGTGAACGTAATTCACAGTCATGTAAATAAAAGAGGTTTTGCCAGTAATTCCTGCCTCCTGCTTGTTAAGGGAGCCGAGGTCAGAACATCGCCAGCCTGGCTTTCTCTTCACGGAAACGGTGAAAAATGACAATAGAAAAAGTGCTTAGTGGTACATCAATTCTGTCCTTTGAGTGTACAGGTAGTCCCCGACTTACAACCGCAATTGAGCCCCCACATTTCTATTGCTAAAAGCGAGACCTTAATTAAGTGAGTTTTGTCCCGTTTTACGACCTGCCTTACCACAGTTGTTAAGCGAATCGCTGCAGGGGTTAAGTTAGTAACCCAGTTGTTAAGTGGATTTGGCTCCCCCCGTCAGCTTGGCTCCGCCAGAAGGCCGCAAATCACACGACCTTGGGACAATGCAACTGTCAAATTTTGGGATCTATTGTCGTACGTTCATGACCGCCTGTACTGATCACTGTGGGGATGCTGCGATGGTCATAAGGGCGAGGAGTGGCCATAAGTCGCTGTTTTCAGAGCCACTGTAGTTTCGAACGGTCGCTAAACGAATGGTTGTAAGTCGAGGACTACCCGTATCATAATGTAAGAGTTTTATAGAACTGCAACATTTGAGTGGTGGGATGGCCTAGAGGTGGAGCTCTCGCCTCACAAGCAGGAGTCTGTGAGTTCGATCCTAGGTAGAGGCAGATATTTCTCTCTCTGGGCACCATGAGAATATATCTGGCTGAAAAAAAACTCTGCATTGGCAACAGGAAAGGCATCCGGCCAGTAAAACACTCCGCTAGCTCCATTCAGCTGCCCAGACTCCACTCCGCAAGGGATTACGGGGTCATGAAACGACAAAGATGGAACTGCAACATTTCTTTCTCCTCCTGACTTGAAATTTCTCTCTCGCTCCTCCAGGTTTGGGTCATTTGATCTCCTGCATTCTCATCAACGGGGCTCAGTACTTCAAGCGCATCAGTGAGTCCGGCATTAAGAAGATGTGCCGGAACATCTTCATCCTTCAGCAGAACCTGACCAACATCACCATGTCCCGAGAGGCTGATCTGGACTTTGCAAGGTGGGAAGGAAGGAGAGTGGGTTGGGGGCTCTGGGTGGAGTATGGATAGTGCTAGACGTACGATCTCAGTTGAGCCCCAAAATCTCCATGTCTAAGCGAGGCGGTTGAGTTTTGCCCCATTTTACGACCATTTTGGCCACAGTTGTTAAACAAATCACTGCCGCTGTTAAGTGAATCGTTAAGCGAATCTGGCTTCCCCGTTGACTTTGCTTGTCAGGAACCAACGGGGAAGATTACAAACGGAGATTAGATGACCTGTTGTAAATACATGCCATTTGCCAAGTGCCCGGATTTCCCAGGGAGGGCTAGAACTCACTGGCTCCTAGTAATTGGCCCAAAGGCATCCAAATGACTTTCATGTCTAAAGCGGGATTAGAACTCAACGTCTTCTGGTGACTGGCTCAAAGTCACCCAGCTTGCTTTCATGCCTAAGGCAGAACTAGAACTCACCATCTCCTGGTGATTGGCCCAAAGTGACCCAGTTGGCTTTCGTGCCTAAAGCAGGACTAGAACTCACTGTCTCCTGGTGATTGGCTCTCTTAGCTGCCAACTTGGCTCACTTGCTTGAGCCATCCGGATGGTCAAATAGGAAGTGACGGTTTCCATGCCACCAGGATGCTCTTTTCTCCGGCCAATGCTGATTGAGGAGACACCCCCCCCTCTTCCCTAACCAGCAAACAGGGGGTTGCTTAATGTTGCAAATCCTACCTCGGTGGGGATGGGGGATGGGGGGTCAAAATTCGGCTTAGACAATTTATCCCAACCTAATTCCGGAGTCATTTGGCACGGAGCAAGGATTGGCGGCGGGGTTAATGGAAGCCGGCGTTAAGATTTGCATTGATTTTGCAAACAGATACACGATGCGCCTTTTCTCCTTTCCGGCTGATGGTCTCTTTAATCTTGACATTAGTTATTTCAGGAGTGGACAGCCGAAGGAATGAAATATTCATCAGGATATTTGAAGAAGGGTTTTTTGTTTTGTTTTTTAATTTGATTTATATGCCGCCCTTCTCCGGAGACTCAGGGCGGCTTACAATGAGCTAAGCAATAGCCTTCATCCTTTTGTATATTTATACAAAGTCAGCTTATTGCCCCCACAATCTGGGTCCTCAATTTACCTACCTTAGAAAGGATGGAAGGCTGAGTCAACCTTGAGCCTGGCGAGATTCGAACTTGCAGTAATTGCAGGCAGCTGGTCTTAATAACAGGGTGCTTTAGACCACTGTACTGCCAAGGCTCTTATATATGTTTTATATGTGTTCGGTTAGGGACCCAAATCCGTCTGCACCCCGCAAAAAGAATAAAAGCTTTTGTGCTCCGTTGCACCCCCTACACCCCGTATACCGAGAAAGATATACCTCCATAATCCTGCATCCCTCCCCTTTCTCCCTTCTTCCTCCCCCGCTCCCCAAATTAGATGGGTGAAGAACAGAGCCCACTCACAACTTCAATTATTGGGACCCCCATACAGGGAATAAATAATCTTGTTATCGACTCAGGCCCAGTCATGCCAACATCCACAACGCAGGGAAATTGCACGACCGCAATGCAGCACAGGGACCTCCGTGGCCAAATCTCCTCGGGATGGCGTCCTCAAATGCGATCATTTCCTGATTTTTTTTTTCCTTCCTGTCTTCCCCCATCCCTTCCCCTTGAATTGTTAACTAAATTAAGCCAGGGTTTTTTGGCAGCCACCGACACACTGGAGATGTGTCAATGGCAACTGGCACACCGATCCCAGCTCGAAACAGAAGGAGAGGTTGGCAACGCTGAAGCCGCCAGACAAAGTTTATATATGTATATATTCGTTTATTAGATTTATATGCCACCCATCTCCCCCAGTAAAGAGACAGTAACAGAGTTGGAAGGGACTTTGGAAGGGACTTGCTCATGCAGGAAACCTGTACTAGGGATTCGAACCGCCGAACTGCCAACCTTTCTGATCGACAAGCTCAGTGTCTTAGCCACTGAGCCACCTAGCCAGTATGGCGGGAGGCTTACGGATCATTGAAAGATAAAGAGGAAAACAGTTTTAACATTTCCAAACGGTGCGAATTAAAACATTTTTAAAAGCAAAGTTAGGGCACCACTGCACCCAGATGGGCTAAGCTGGTTGTCTCTTTACGTTGGCATCTCCTCTTCCTCATGCCCTGTCTTTTGAGATCTTCGGCCATTGTCCGAATGTTTTTTTTTTAATCTTTTTTTAAGAAAACAATTTAAACTTCTATTTTAATACAAGGTTAATGGGGGAACACCGAACCCTTTAAAACACACACACACACACATAGCTGATGAACAAAACAAATGCAAAAGCAAAGTATAAACAAAAGTAAAAAAAAATAAATATATTTTGTTTTATTTTATGATGGATTTATGCTCTGCAAACTTCCAATGTGGCTTTTTTTTAAAAATTCTTTTTTTTTTTTTACTTTATTTTGGGACTTAGTTTTTTTTTTTTTTTTAAAGCACAGTTGACAATGAAAAAAGATAGAGATGGATGGATAGATAGATAGAATTATCCATCCTCTAATTTTAACAAAACTGAATCAGTTTTGCTGTCTTGACAGTACCACAATACAACAGACAGTGGCGCTTTGGCAATGCAAGGCTGCCATCTAGTGGCCATGCCAAGCAAGAGCCAGAGACTTCTTAATTTCATTGTGGTTTTATTTCTCCATGGAGTTCACAGTGAAATTGCGTATTTCGGTTAGTCCCAAATATGTAAGATGAGCAAGACAGGAAGGGCAAGTTCTTATTTTCATCCTGAACACGGAGTTGTTTCATTCTGCCAATTTTGCCAGCGCTCGTCTCCATCTTCTAACACGAAAACTGTACAAACGTTAACAAAATTGGCACAATTGTGGACGAGTCCCCCCAAAAAGGCCTATAATGAGCTTTATTTGGTACTAATTTAGGGTGCTTTGTAAACCCCGATATTGTGATGTATAAATCATCTTCATAGGTTAGTATAGGTTTTCTAACATGAGTAACTTTAAGATGGGTGACTTCAATTCCCATCCAGCAAGGCTGGCTGGGGAATTCTGGGAATTGAAGTCCACCCATCATAATGTTACTGAGAAAAAATTGGCTTCTCTCAGGTCCAACAATGGTGGTTATCTCAGAAAACATGGCTAATATATTATTGGCCAATTATGGAAACCTTTTGGGAAAAGTGTATTTTCTAAAACTAGCTAATAACACCACTTTTTTTCCGAGTAGTACCATAAAATGATATATCAATGGAAAGTTAATTTAATCAAGGATGTAATGCAATAACTTTTATGGAGGGTTTGCTATTAGAATAGCAGTTACAGTATAAAGAGGAAAAGGGAAACACGTAGAAAAACCGAGATATACAAAAACGATCATCATAGAAAAAAACGAGATATACAAAAAGTATCACCATGTCAGTTAATCCTTAGTTGGGTAACTTTTAGCATGAATGACGGCCTTACAACGTCTTCCCATGCAGTGAACCAAGTCTTTGAGTTCTGCAGCTGTTATCATGTGAAACCAAGATTGAATGATGGCTTCTATTAACTGGGTTTTATTGCTGGGTTGCTTCTGACTAACCAGTTTCTTTCATCGGCTCCATAGATTTTCAACTGGGTAAAGATCTGGGCTATTCCCAGGCCATTCCAGCAGTGGAATAGGATTATCTTGAAACACCTTAAAAAAAAGTGGCGTTATTAGCCATCAAACCTCCAAAATACACAAATATAAATAAAGCTTTTGGAAGATTTGCAGATGATTTTCGGGCTGTTCCTCTGTCTGGCCTACCTCACATGGTTGCTGTGAGAGAAAGAAAGCAGGAGGGAGGGCTGTACAGGTAGTCCTTGGCTTATGACCGGTCCTTTAACAACCATTCGAAGATACAACACGCCCCGAAAATAAGTCTTAAGACCCAGTTTCAAAGTTGCAATATGGGCTGCGTTTTTTAGGTAAGAGCAGTCTTTCAACTCATAAAAGAGAACCAAAAACAGGTACTCCTTGACTTACGACCACAATGGAGCCCCAGATTTCTGTCACTAAGCGAGACGGTGGTTGAGTGAGTTTTGCCTCCTTTTACGCCCTTTCTTCTCAGAGTTCTTAAGTGAATCACTGCGGTTGTTAAGATAGAAACATGGTCATTAAGCGAATCTGAGTTCCCCATTGAGAGTGCTTGTTGGAAGATTGTAAAAGGGGATCACATGACCCTGGGACACTGCAACGGTCATAAATATGAGTCAGTTTGCCAGGTGTCTGAATTTTGATCATGGGCGACCACGGGGATGCTGCAATGGTCATAAGTGTGAAAAACGGTCATAAGTCACTTTTTCCAGTGCTGTTGTAACTTTGAACGGTCACTAAATGAACTGTTGTAAGTTGAGGACTAGCCATAAAGCTATTATCCTGTAGTTGAATAATGTTGAAATCCTGGTCCGATAAGGATGTTTCCTCTTGGTACTCAAAGAATATTATCATTAGGCAAGCATCCTTCAGATAAAAGTTCAAAAACCAGGAAAAACAGCCAGATCTTCTATGTCAGGAAAGAAACAACCGAGAATTAAGGAGAAATTTCCTGACAGTTGAGAACAATTAACCAGTGGAACAGCTCGCCACTAGAAATTATGGGTGCTCCAACACGGGAGGTTTTCAAGAAGAGATTGGACCGCCATTTATCCAGGATGGTAGAGGGTGTTGTGGCCCGTGCAGCTAGTAGCTGATTCGGACAGCGAGGAGGCTGGTGTGGTGCTGCGCCAGCAGCCTGTGCAGCTGGCACTCGAGTCGGACAGTGAGGAGGCTGGAGAAGATGCGGTGCCAGAGGTGGGGATTCAGCCAGGGCCTTCAGAACCTCCAGAAGCTCCCTTAAGTGAAGAGGAGGAAGAGGAGGAGCCTCTTCTCGATGCACGGGCGCGCAGAGCTGTTAAAAGGCAGGAGTGGCTTCTCAGGAGGAGGTCTCCTCGAGAGTAAGGCTTGGGGCTAATTGGCCACTCCCCTAGCCTATTTAAGGAAGGATG